TTAGAAAAATAATTAAAATATTAAAATAAGCATTTAAAAACAAGTGTTACTAAATTAATTTTAAAAAATGAAATATTAAATAAGATATATATAAAGAATTTAAATACATAATTAAACATTTGTAAATAATTAAAATAAGTTTTAAAACTTCATTAAAAATAAATAACTAAATTAATTGTTAGAAAAAAAAATTAAAATAAGCAATTAAAATATCAAAATAAGTGATAGTAAAATAATTAAAGAAATAATTAAATAATAATGTACGTTCATTTTGTTTATTCCGTTATCGATTGATTATTGCATTTAGTAGCAGTGTGTTACTATATATTTTTTAAAATTTTTGTTTATCGAATGTTATTTGCATAGGGTCCTAATATTTGAAATTTTGTAGGATGGAATATCATCTGGACGACGCTGTCAGACAGATCCCTGGTAAAGTTACCTCGAATTGTAACTTTACCAGCTTCGCTTTGGTATTGGATTTGCTGGACGACGATCACGCAGATATATTACGTCGATTATGCTTATGACCATTGTATTCGTTGCGTGACGTACAGTGGTCTGGGCAGTTGCTCGATGCCCTATTATGTCGCTTGCTGAAGCCAGTTGACGGAGACGCCTTCCATTTTGATCTTGGGGGCAAGGTAGCCACGTTCTCTATATTTGAGTTTGCTCTCGTCACTGGACTGCGATGTACGGATGATGCAGAGGCGAGGGCCTGTGTTCCGAGGAACAGGAGGCTGTTGAACGAATATTTTCATGGACAGACGACGGTTACTCTAGCACAGCTAGGAGATGCATTAAGGAGATGTGATCGGATGTCTGATAGGTTGAAGTTAGGATTGGTGCTTATCATCGAGAACATACTCCGGTGTCATCACAAGAAGACATCGATTGACATTTTTCATTTGGAGATTGTTGAAGATATTGATGCCTTCAACAACTACCCATGGGGTTGGAGATGTTTTCTTGATACATTACGCGTGTTTAGGAGGGGGTTTTCAATGCCAAAGGGGGATAAGCTCGAGCGCAAGTACGATGCATATGGACTGCCGTTGGCGCTGCAGGTATATGTTTAAGTTAATGAATTACCTACACTTTTTTTATTGAATTCTATACATAATAATTCTAATTGTTTCAGATATGGGTGTACGAGACTGTCCCTATCTTGGCCAGTCGGTATGCGAGGAGAGGAGAGACACGGTATCCTCGGATGCATCACTGGCGAGCACAAGACAAGCCGCTTGCCAGACAGTTATCGGCTCTTCTCGACGATCCTGAGGTACGTATTATACAATTGCTATTTATGTCGTACGTCCTTTTATAATCTGAATACATAGTCATTAACTGTGACATATGAAAATGACAGCTTGAAGTTCTCACTGAGTTGGCACCATCGATCGAGGAGGAGAGTCAGTTTTATATTCGCGAATTGCCTCTTCGTACTGCGCATGACGATCAGATGCCTGAGTCCAGGATGGATCGAGATAGGGTATGTCACTGTGCAGGATTTATTGAATATCGCTTCGATCTTGTAATTAAGTGCCTCACTTGTAATATTTATTTTTTCAGGAGGATCGTTCAGTATTACCTCCGTTGAGGATATCACCTCCACCGACGAGAGGACGTTCAGCGAGGATGTCACCTCCGCTGAGAAGATCACGTCCAGCTACGCCAGAGGTTCAGATGCCTGAGTCCAGCGTTGATCGAGATAGAGTATGTTACTTAAAAATAATTCTTCGATTGTCGTTTTATTTTATTTGTTAGGTTATTCATTTGTAATAGTTATTTTTTCAGGAGGGCCGTCCAGTATCGCCTCCTGACGATTGATTTGTTCGACCTCCTGATGGAGATGAGAGGAGACATGGCAGAGTTACGGGGTAATGTCGTGACACTACGAGCTGAGCTCGGGGACATGGCACAGTTACGATATGATGTTGCGATGTTACGAGCTGGGTTAGGAGACCTCCATGCTGAGGTTGCAGCGATACGGGGTGACATAGCAGGCCTGCGTGGGACGAGCGATTATCGAGATGGAGGAGGTAGCGGAGGGACAGGTCACTATCGGGACGGAGGGGGTGACGGAGGGGTCGGTGGTTATCAGGGGGGAGTGGGTCAGATGGGGTATGTTGACTCATCGTGGCCATCAGTTGCTGCACTTGATTCATTTTTAGATGACACGATGGGGATGGAGGAGCGAGAGAGGATACCTATGGTGGAGGGGATGCCCGCGCAGGATATACCTGAGGACGTGGAGGGGGTACCCGAGGAGGAGAGGGTACCGGAGATGGAGGTGGAGGTGGTATCGGAGGTGGGGGTGCCCGTGCAGGGGATCCCCGAGGACGTCGAGGGGGCATCGGAGGTGGAGGTGGTACCCGTGCAGGGGATACCCGGGGATGTCGAGGGGGCACCGGAGGAGGATAGGGTACTGGAGCTGGAGGTGGTACCCGTGCACGGGATACCCGGGGATGTCGAGGGGGCACCGGAGGAGGAGAGGGTACCGGAGGTGGAGGTGGTACCTGAGAAGATGCCAGACTCGCCGGTCGTGGTCTTTGTGTCGGAGGAGGTGGTCCCGACAGCGGGCGAGGGGGTCGTCCCGATGGCTGGGGAGATGGAGATTCCCGAGGCACATGAGGAGCGGGTGGTCGGCAAGAGGCTAAGGGTGCCATCACAGTATGTTTTTTCTCCCTTTACCGCGGAGGCGAAGAGGAGAAGGTTCGTCGACGGGACGCACCCGAATTTATTCAGGGAGGTGGACCACGCCAAGTGGAAAGCCTTTGAGACAGAGTGGAGAGCACTGCAGCCTGGGTCAGTTTTGTATTTTATGTAATTACTATAGTACGCAGACGCTGACACATGTATACTTCATATAACTAAAAATTCTGTTCTTATTTTTTCAGGGCCAGCCGCACGATTGCTGAGAAGACGATCTCAAATGCTTACAAGTGGTTCCACGACATCACCACTTCGGGGGCTTGGCTCGCCGACGATGTATATGTACTGAAAATATTGTTATTTATTATGTACGTTCGAAAACAATTTTTTTGAATGAAATTCATAGATTAACTCCTTTCTTTATTGGTGTTTCTTGATGTAGCACATCGACTTGAGCATGGATTTGCTACGGGATCGTGCTGAAAGACATCCAAAATCGTTCAACATTCCTGACAGACTCATATTGAACATCGAGTTCATCCGTGCCGTTGACATTGAGTATCAGTCGTTCCAGGCTATGGGTGGCGAGTACACGGTGCCGGAATATATGATGGAATGGGTCGTAGGGATGTGGCCGAGTGTCGGTGGGAAGCCATGGGATGGCTGTACGCATATGTACGTACGAGTATGTCTGAATCATCACTACATTGCAGTGGAAATCGTATTCGCTGACTCCACGATGTATGTGTACGACCCCGATCATTCATGCCTGACACAAGGCCAGCTCGAGCAAAATCTAGAGTCGCTGTCTGTGATCGTTCCCATGATGGCTAGACGAGCGAACATCACTGCACAAGACAGATTGGCCACTGTGCGGAACACGACGACGACAAGGCAACAAATATCGTAAGTGTTTGTAATTTTCTTTCTGTCATTTACATCTTAGTTTCTAACTAATTTTCGATGTGCTAATATAACATTGTTTAATTGTAGGGGTGATTGCGGCATATTCGTCATCAAGTACATAGAATTTTTGAGTGTGGCACATAAGGTTGATGCAATCAACCAGGCATGGATACAAAATTGGAGAAATAAACTAGCATGTGATTTATTTGAATTTAATGGGGATCCGTAAATAATTGTACATATTTTTACATTTATTTAAACATTGTACAATTCATTCATTTATTTGTAATTACGAAAAAATTGTAAAATGTTGATTGCATATGTAATATTTAAATATTTATTTTACAATGTAGCCTACCGTATAATGCAGTTTCTAGAAAAAGTTTCGATTTCAAATAATTAACATAAATAATATGCATAACAAATGAATGTAATGAATGAAATGTTTGAAAAAAATACTAAATCTAATAATTCGCATAAATAATATGCATAAATAATTAACGTCAATGTTATAAATAATTACATTGCCAATAGTTATTAAAATTACACATCCGTTACATTGTCATGTAGAGGAATCTGACTTGTACAATATCTTCTAGTATGCCCTGTTGCACCGCACCTACGAGGCTGGGGAAACTCTCCGGTAGATGGTATTCTAGACGTACGTGTACGTCCAGGAGTACGTGGTCCAACTGCTGGTGGCAACAAGTTATTCAGTGGGAGAATGTGGTCGGGCACTTCCCACTCGACTTCATTTGGTACAGGAAATATTGTTTCCGCATATGCTGCTCTCCAATAATCAGTCATGTAATACACACTGCATAAGGTGTGTGGTGGTAATCCTCTATGCATAGCCACTGCCACTGCATGTGTACATGGAAAACTCTCCAACTGAAACCGTCTACACGTGCACGTGTTATCATTCAAGTCCACAATGTATCCGAAATTACGTGCACATCTCACGGAGAAGCGAAATTGATCCAGTGGTTCTACATATACCTTTCTTGCCACATCTAGAGTCTTGAAGAGCTTATCTTCTTGAGCCGGGGTTAGCACACTTGCACAGCTCTGTGATTCCTCATGTCGATCATGAAACCACTGTTGTAACTTGTCATGAATGTTCTCAATCATTGCAAGAATTGGTAACTCTCGATCTTTCTTGAATAAATCGTTAGGCGACTCTGCATTGTTCGACGTCATCATGTTGTATCGACGTCCTGGAAAATGTGATCGTGCCCAATGTTCAATCCCCATCTCTGTTAGATACTCCCATGCAGCATGCGATTTACTGTCTATTTCGACCATGAACTTATCAAACTCTTCAAAACTGTAAGCCTCTGCAGCTCTCCTAAACAACGCAACGACGCCATTGCCTCGATACCTGGTCTTCAGGTTTCCCTGTATATGGTACATACAATAACCATGATGTGCCTCGGGGAAGACTTCGGCGATACCATTTATTATTGACTGCCCTCGATCGGTTACGAATGCAAGATTTTCGACATCTCCAATTACTTCCCTCAACTTCGTGAAAAACCAACTCATTGCTACATCATTTTCTCCGTCGACTAGCCGAACGCAAGAGGGTAAATTTGGATGTTCGCATCTTGGCATGTTGCAATAATCAACTTGCCCCCGTATCTCGCCTTAAGGGTTGTACCGTCGACTAAGATTAAGGTTCGCATTGCATTTCGAAATCCTCGAACACATTGTCCAAGGGCCATAAAGAAATATCTGAAGCGATTTTCGTCATCGTTCTCAAAAAAAATGCCGACCCAGTATTAATTCTTCCCATGTTATAGCAATACCTGGCCAATGTAAATAAAAATAATCATAATTTAGATAATATATTAAATATTAAATGAACAGAAAAATAAACAATTCAATTAAATAATTAATTACATATAAATAAACAATTGAAATTAAATAATTAAAATTTACTATAACAAAGAAATAAACACTTAAACAATGAAATACCTGGCTAATTTAGCATAACTCTCCTCAGCCGAACCCATCAAATCCTCCAATGCACATTCTTTAGCCTTCCAAGCCTTCTGATAGCTCATGACCACCCCGTACTCACGTCGAACATCATTAATGATGTCCGAAGGTCTGTAGATCGTTCGTGGATCCTGGAACTTGTGCATTATTTCTCGACCAATGAACCATGATCAGGCCTGCCTATGGTCATTTCGACGAATACTCACTTCGCAAGTATGTTCCCGTGCATACTTACGGACTACAAATAACTCATTCGTGTCCATCTTAGTCGCTCGCAAACGCCAATGGCAACTGTCGTCAACGCAGATAATTGTGTATAACGACTTGTTTGATTTCTTCACTTTAAACTCGAAGTTATGTTTTAAAGCAATCCGGTGCATAGCTTCTTGCAATTCTTTCTTTGATTCAAATAGTTGCTCGACATATACATCTTCATCATCGGGAACTACACGCGAACAATTAGAGGACCGTGTACTAGGTCCGGCCTGCGAGCTCCCACCCGACTCATGTCTCCTACGAGATAAAACAATTAAATCCTCGTTTGTAAATGCATTTTCATTCTCGTTGTCTTCAATTATCGATGAAATTCTGTGCGTAACAGTGTGACCATGGTGAGTAGCAATGGTCTCGGGAATAACCACATCATCTTCACGAACAATCTGAATTGTATCCCAAACATCATTTACATTACGATTCTCTTCATTTGAAATTTCGTGTTCCCCCTCGTGGACATTCTTCCCCAATAAAGTTACGCAAATAGGAGTCGACTTCCGGCCTTGATTCAATTTAATTAGATGTTTCATTTCCACTTCAGAAGTAACTTTCATAGGTGGAATTGAAATGGTTGAATGCTTATGAAACAAAAATCCCAATTCCATATCGTACTGAGAGGGATCGACGTTAAGCATGTTTTGTATATCGCTGTACATTTCTGTGAACGATGTACTCCTTGTTATAAAAATTGCTTTAACCCTATCTCATTCACTCGTTCATTTCCATTCCCACTGAGCATTTTCATTCATTTGAAATTCACCAAAGTAACAAATTGGGACACATGCTGATACCATATCTGCCACAAATTAAAAATAAGGAATTAATATATAATTTTTTAAATTGTTCATTTCATATTTAATTTAATTTAATACTTTAAATAATTCATTAATTATTTTAATTGTTTCAAAAATATTTATTTCAATTACTATTTAAATATTCATTAATATTTATTTCAATAAACATATATTAATGAACAAATAAATTCTAAAATCTGAAGGAAAAAAAAGGGCTGGGCCGGCTGGGAACAGCCGGCTGGAAACAGCAGGCTGTTTCCAGCGGCCCGGATAACTGGGCCGGCTGGAAACAGCCGGCTGTTTCCAGCCGGACCCGACAACTGGGCCGGCTGGAAACATTTGGCCCAACTTTTTTCGTCCGTTTCATCTGAAATTTACGCTCTAATTTTTTATTTTTTCCCTTTTTCAACGAAATAATGTTTAAATATTTATTTTACAGACACCTATAAATTTTTCCTGTAAAATATATGCATACAGAGATGAATTTTTTTGTTGTTTTTGCTATAAAAAAATTATAAATCTGTGTTTAAATACTGTAAAATTTATCTGCCTTTCTCAAAATAATTAATGTACAGATTCAAACAGTAAACTTAACTAAAACAAAATTCAAAATACGTATTTACACTTACCAATTTTCAGTGCCGACTGTGAGTATTGTTTCTTTCTTGAACCTTTGATAATTTTGGGAGATTTCAATATTTTAGCAGATGGAAGGAAAAAATTCTTTTTTACTGTATTGGAGAAACTGATAAACCAAAACTGATTTTGAAATTTACGTATGGAAGTAACAGAATTTATTTAAACTATTAAGGGTATTATTGTCTTTTAAACAATTGATATACTTTTGTAATTATTAAACATGAATAAGGGTAGAATTGTCTTTTTAATGACAATAGGCCAATGTGGTGAATACAAAAAAAAAATGGTCAAAATGAAAATTTGGTTGTTTGACCAAGCTATTTTAAAAAGTACCCCCATAACAATGTGGCTTGAGCGTAGGCTAGCGACAGGCAATGTCGCTTGAGTGCGAACTAGGGTTGCATGTATTAAAAAAAATATTAGGGCTTGGATATAGATAGTAGAATGCAATGAGGTAGCATAGGCCAGATAAAAAACTCTTGAAAAACACGAACTAGGGTTGTACGCGTAATAATGTCTCTTGAGTGCAGGCTAGCGATAGGCAATCAACTGGTGTGTCACTCAAGCGAGAGCTGGGCGACAATGTTTCTATTTTTTTTCCTTTCGAGCATCAGACGGACTATAGGCTAGCGCAACTCTAGCGGTTCTTTCCTCCTCGTTCCAAACTTGAAACCTAAGTTACATATTTCATCTATACAACATTTCAATTGAGTCCTTCACTTTTCCAACTTTCATATTAGTCCTTTGTCTATAGAATTGCCAATACAATAATATCCTCACAATCGTAAAAAATGTCCAGCCTTTATTCATGGCCACAGTGGGGAGTATCCCCACATATACATTGTAGGATTTTATAAAGGGGAGTCCGAGGAGCAATTGGACAAGGACCCACTACTCACTATGTACATTCGGACTAGAAGTAATCAATGATCTATGTGAACCGAGGACCGGAGGCTGACTCATAAAGTGATAATAGATGAAGTAACGTCTAGCAATTTGATAATTTAGCACGGATGAAAAATATGGAATCATCTGCAACCATCTCCAACCACTCTATTAGACTAATATAGAATTAAAACTAAACGATAAGTGGGCTGTTGGATATTAAGATCAGATTTTTGATGAATAATAGGTCATAAGTACAAAGCTAAACTCTCACAAAGATCATAACACAAACCATGGAGCAAAAAGGTGGCTTCATTTTCAAGCTAAAATTCCTCAGCATTTCATATGCTCAAACAAATGTCAAAGGAATCCAAGTATAAGACGGTCAAAAAAATAAAAACGAAAATTGCTTATAAGCTAAAAGTTGAGGAGAACATAAGCCAATGCCCATAAGAATCCATCCTAGGGACTCCTGAGTTCTAGAGCTCCTTATCAATTCAGTGTGAACAAGGGTTTAGACAACCTAACCATGCACTTCAGCACGCTTGGATGGTGACAAATTGGACTCGTCAACTACACTTGCTTCACAATTTCCAACTACTTCAGGCTCATGGGCTTTATGTTACTCTCCCACATCTGATGAATTTTTCCCTGTGGATACATTAGATGATTTCCCGTTTGTTTCGCTACTGTCAATTTTTAATCCTGAATCATCTTTGGAGGCAGCATTTCCCACTGCATCCATGAAATCCTTTAAAGGGTTCTCAGTTGCAGATGAAGTCCCCTTGAGCAAGTCCAAGCCTGACTTGCACTGCTTCTCAAACATCATCTGACGGTAACGCCATTGTTCTTCAATTCGAAGCTGCAGATTTCTTTAAATCTGTAGAAGAATAATTAGAAAATAATGTATGAATGGAATAACCAGAAACTGCTAAGGTCACACTCAGAATTTTAATCCCTAGTTTGCCTTTGAATATATAAATTAAAAGGCCAGTTGCAAAATATCGGCTAAGCCACAGCACTTTCAAAAAGCTGCAAACTTGATGCTAGGGAACTTATCAAACAAGACAGTAACTGTGCCACCCGTAAAAGATTTTTTACTACGATGCTGTCCACAAAAGCAAGATCCCTCAGCAAATTGTCAAACGTAGCAATAATACAAGACAGCATTAGTATATATTTCTCTATTGCTGCAAGAAGCATTAATAATCTGCTTATGTTATGTATCAAATATTAGATTTTGCATTAGTCACATAAGACTTAGGAACGTGATATATGGCTTAACCTATATTATATGCCACCTTCAAGTTAAAACCAATACGCCACGTGAATTCATACCTCAAGCTGCTCATGAAGCTTCTTTTGGACTTCCATTTGAGTTCTCAATGCCCTATTTGAAAACCAGAGGCGTGCACAGTCAGCAGCAGAACAAATAGAAAATAAAAAACTGAAAGGAAACTCAGCTCAGTTCTAATTGTATCCATCCTTGCGACTTTTCTAAGATATTAAACGTTCAAAATTTGACAAGTTTCACCATTCTCATTGAATCCACAATATATTTGCTAGTTCCAGATTGTCCACACACACGAGTCACTCATAAATCTTCCATCTGCTGACGTGTTTGCAAATATTATGCAACTTTAGCACAACAGACATCCATAAGTTGCTAACAAACTACTTTACCAAAATGTCTAATTCTGTTTCATAGTCATAGATCATTACCATCCTCCTTCAATTTCAATTAGAAATTGATGGTTTTCTAATCCTATTCTCTTGTAAAATTCTAAGAGAGACTAATATCTGCCAATCATCCCTGTTATTCTACAAGAATAACTGGGAGAAGAAAAACAATAGAGGAAGGGTATGAAGTTTAGTTGTCGAATTGTTTGGTCACTGGTGGCATAAGGTAAGGCATATAATAGTTTAATAGAAAAAAGAAACAAGGCACATCTCCATTCATAAAATTAAAAGAAGTTGAGTTTAGAAAATGAAGTACATCATCCCACATACACGTGCAAAGCCAGAGAATCAGAAGAGGAGGTCAATTAAATGGAACATATATAAACTAAAAGTAACATTGAAAATATTAAATATCGTGCCCAGAGGTTCAGATACTAATGATTATTGAACTCCAAAAATCACATTAACTACAAGACATGAACTTAAGTAAAAGAAGTAACGTTTTCATGTCTTGAGATGATAGATCTTCAATAGAGGTCGGTTTTTCTGAAGATTCTGCAAACGAAATAAAATAAGTTTCTGAAGTGGCAACAAAGATTACCCTTCATGTGGAGCATAACATGTAGCATATTCTAAAGTCAATGACAATCATGAACCAGAAACATTATTGAAGGAGTTCTGTTCATGATTAAGCTAAGTGAGACAGTCTGAAAGATAGATTTGTTCATGGTGTAAGCAATGCATTGAAGTTCAAGTGTTAGAAGGGAAAGTTTTTAGGTATAGTCCGTGGAATCGCAGAAACTATCAAAATCAAATGGGTTGGTTTGAAAATAAATGAATTGCTACAGAATGGTTCAAAATTGAAACCATTTAGGTTGAAAGCCATAGTGCTGATACCTAAAGCTTGCAAATATATATTTTTTAGCTCCTGTTTGAGCCCCATTAACTCACATTAAATTACATTTTCAATCAATTTTCAACCCACTTTTTTTACTTAGGTGGGAGCCACCTCTGTAAACTCATTTATCACTTTGCAGAATTCCCATTTTTTGAAGTGATCATTTGGGCCAAAAGGACAGAATTCTCCCCACATTTGTCATTTGCTGTTGTTTGTCTTGTATGGAAAATTCAAGTCCATAATTGCGGCAACTAGTAGGAGTATTTGGGAGGACAAAGTGGTAATTTTGTGCTGCACAAATTTAGGTGCTATAAGATTGATGTCTAAATTGTCCGGTGGTGGGGCCCACGTTTCACATTGAAATTTGCAAATAATGTAATGTAATGTGAGATAATGGGGCTCAAACAGGGGCTTAGTATTGTAGCAACATAAAAATATGAATTGAAATATATTCAATTCTAACTTTAAGCATCTGAAATTCACTATCTAGTTTATTATATGACAATATCTATGTGCATTGGAGTCTCTAGGGGTATGTGTATAGATAGATAGTTAGTTAGCTCATAGATGTATCGAAATTTGTCATAATGACAATTCTAATAAATAGAACTACAAAAGGCATTTTCAAAGAGTGGCATTAGTTACTGTCAACAAGAATTATTAACTTCAGCACATAAAATGGAGTTGTTTCTGAATATTAGAGCGTCGACTGCAATATGAAACTAAATAAATCACATTACATAAAAATTATTGATGCACGCCTTTCTGTTGCCTCTGGTTTGTATCTAGCTGTTAGGTATTTCTGCAGTTCAGGAAAAACCACCAATGCAGGTTAAGAAAAAGGTCATGACACAAGAATACAACAAACCTGCAACTTTTATTAGCTTCAGGACACCCTTTGGACTGGCTCCTATGGTCAATAATAGAATGAGTAATGTGAATGGTTGCCTGATATTTCACACAAAATGACTTTTAAGTGGTAAAGGAAGAATTACTTTCACTTCCAACAATCTTGTTGACTGCCTCCACAGAGGCTTCATAAAGTTCTGGTGTCCAATGCATTCGCTTCTTGGTTTGAGCACAATTTGCAGAAGATGATTGAGTAACAGCTGTGCAAGTTACTCCAGGTGTGGGTCAGACTGTTTATTGGGCTGCTGCGTTGAAAAAATTGTTGACAGATTGGACATATGATATCCTGCATTAACAGAACAAGGAACAAGAACCCAGTCAATTTTCATTTTCTCTATTAAACTCCAAAAAAATATGTAATAAGGAACACTTCAGTGGATTAATGTACATCAAAAGAATATGTAATAAGGAACTCTTCAGTGGATGCATAAAGAAAATAGCATCAACTTTTGGTTCTGGATCTGCAATACTTGCATCGGCAAGAAGCTCATTCCAGTCAGAAGTCAAAGCACCATTCTGTCTATTCATATTTATCAGTGAGAAGACATTCACATCTGGAGAATGTTTAATGAGTTCCCTCTCCTGGAAACCTGCTGAATAGGAAAAGAAGACAACATAGTCCCAGAAACCAAAGTTACTAATTTGTTTTGGACCTGATCTTCCAATAGACAAAGAGGGTTTTGCTTCCATTGTGGCTGTGTAGAAAACGTAGCTTCAGCTTACATTATACCACAAGATTATGCACCATATTCATATCTCAGATATGAATGACGTATGAATGCTTAATTAATGAAATCCAAAGAAAGAATCACCAAGAATGTCAATCTATTCTCAAGTTGCAGAAAAGAGACATTCGCAACAAGTCAAGCAAGGAATTTCCTTCCTCATGATGATGTAGAAATGAACTTGGTACCAATTCTTCTCATAACTGGAACAAAATAACCGCATTATAAACCTCCTCTTGGTACAACTTCGTTTCCTCATGGGTCACAACCTAATTGATCGGAAAGGATTTAATTTGGACACTCCTCAGCTCTTAACACGAATTTATCCTCTCTCAGCAATTATACTTCATGCTCTAATGCATGGAAAACGTATCAAAAAGCTTTTATAGAGTCTTCAGAATTTATAAAAATCAGTATGGAAACATTGTTTTTTCCATAGAGAAGCTCAGTCTTGCTAGAAATTTTTGGGGATCACGATGCTGAATGCAGTATAAGCTCAACTCTATACGAATAGCATATGCTCCTATGGTTCTTGAGTTCCTACAATATGGCCAAAGTACAGGCGAGAGCTTCTATCTAACTGGCAACAAAATCAATCATTTTGTTGGTCACCGTAAAGATAAAAAATTGCAGAACTATAAACATATATTATGATTAGAGTCATCTAAAATTTTGAACCAGTCCTCGCTCCTTTATTCTAAGGTCGTAATATAATACTCTGGTAACAACTAAAACCAGCATAGACAATTTTACACGAAAGGTCTTATCATTAAGTGTGTGTTTGATTGATATGAAAAATGTTTTCTGGAAAAGAAAATATTTTCTTGTTATGAGAAAAATAAAAAGCTACCTCCCAAACAAAATGTTTTCTTTAAAAACAAGGAAAATTAAACACTCCAAAGTTGAAAATTAGGTGTAAAAAGGTCTTTTTCATAAAAAAAATTTCAATCAAAGATACCTTAATGGCTAATAGTTTGCACCTATAGACCTCAAGATTGGTAGCTTTTGAACTCGCCTAAAACAAATTCATGGGTAATATGTTTTTGAAGTTTCAGTCACTACTAGAAAGGGAAGCAATAGAGACGGAATTTTAGCAACAAACGTCTTCCGTCGCTACTATCAACAAATTAATAATAAATTAGCAATGAATTATTATTTTATCATTTTTAAAAATTACATATTAAATTACCGACAAAATTACCAATGGAAGTCTTCCGTTAGTAAAATTATGTTGCTAATCCGTTGGTAAAAATATAAAATAATTTACTAACGAATTGTCCGACGGATGATTCCGTTGAAAACTATATAATAGAATAAAATAATTATCAATAAAAAAATTTTGTTTGTAAAATTTTTAAATCCTGCATCTGTTTACCCTTTTCTTAAAAGAGGGGCTTTGAAAACACTATTCATTGTCGTCAAATGCCTTTTCGTACTTTATTTTAGTTTACTAAAAAGTGGTTCTTCTATAGCATACAATTAAGGTTAGATGAGGACCAAATGAAACATTCTCTTCACAGCCAATAAAACCCTTGCTCCTCAAAAAGTCTTCCCTCGCTGGACCACCAAAGAAGAAAACCCTACCTCACTCAGATTTTGAAACCCGACGCGTCGAAGGAGGGATCCACCTCAAGCACACCCTTCTGTCCTAACGATGCGCTGAATCTGTGTCAAAACATTATACGAGCTACCGAATTCATCAGGTGTCCTCGGCGCGATGTATTGACAGAGAATGCTCGAAAGGAGTTCGAAGACGCTCGGTTTGAGAAGGATCTGGAAATTGTTGCTCTTCTGTTGATTGGAGGGCAGGATGTCTGCAGTCGGCTCTTGATAAGCTTGTCAAGAAGCAAAAGCAGCAAATTGAGAATGAAAGCAATGAATCAAATCGATGTTGACGTTTTTTGGTAATAAATGAATTAAATTTCGAATATTTTTCTGATTAATTTTAGTGTCGATTGATGTTATATTCTTTACCTTATTTTATCCGAAAATATAGATGCAATCATTAGTAATATTAAGTTGTCAAAATTTAAGCCTTATGCGAAAAAGGTCCGAGTCTAGTTACAGAATTGGGGATTTTTTGGAAGAATCCATTTTTTTGGATTTAATTTGTAATTTTGATATTCTATGCTAGTTGCTATTCTAAAATTTGCAATATGTTATTTGCATTTGTATATTTGTCCTCGTTGTCTTGCACATCTCTTAAAGGATGAATACAGTGCCACTTGTAGAATAAGGATATATTTGTGTTTAATTAGAACATCACAACTTAATTATGTATTTGCTGGGCTTGGAAATCTTGGGTTTTGATGCTGGTATAGTTATGAAAATCTGTTTTCATCTATCTAAGTTGTTAAATATGCTATAATGCTTGCATTTTTGAGACCCTTCGGTTCGTTCTCAATGGTACATACATTTTTGGAAGTCCTTCTACGCATGACTGACTGAATTTGGAGGATGAAAAATCTGTCATTGCTTACCAATGATCTTTGATATACCAATATATAGTTCGGGAGAATGTATTCACAGCATTATATACAGACCTTTATGTATACTTGTGAATTTAATTCTCATCTATTATATATATGTTATAGAATATGGATGAATCATGCCAGAATGGTAGTGTGGATTCATTCTTGCGAAACTAGAAGTTTGGGGAGACTCTTGGCATCAGTTCATTTTGTAAAGTTCAAATTGCCGAAGATACATTACAGGGCACAAAGCTGCTGTCAAGATCCTTAAGAATATATAAGAAAATAAAGAAATGGATACGAAAGAAAAATGTTGGTCAATCAATCTTTATGTGACATATTCTATAATCTATTGTCTGTAACCTATTTTTGCTTCTCTCCGGGGGAAATATGGTCCTTCATTGCTTGATGTTTTGCTGTTCATTATTTGATGATCTGCGATGGTCCTTCATTATTCCCTTACACTACATATATTGTTAATTCTATTTTCAATTCAGAGTGTGGAAACTAGAAACTGCTGTATCTTTGAGCTGTTGGTTCAATGCTTTAGAAGGATAGAATTATTTTTTGATGTCGGCTAGATTTTACACCTTAATGGATGGAAGTTGAATGCCCCAAAGTTATCTCAGGTACAGCAATCTGAGACATGAGTGGACGAAGACAGGTATTTCATTAACTTTCACTCACTAGAATCATACCAAAATCATTAACATTCGCTCACCAGTTGGTTGGTCCTGTAGGGATTGGCAAAACTCAAGTAATAATAATATTGGCATGTCTGCATATGTTTATTTTATATATTATTGACAACTACTTTTCCCAAAGTTTATTCTTATCCTGTTTGCTGTAAGTTTCCCTAATCCCTGGGTCCGTCAGCTGAATGATTGTATTTTGATTTTATACTTCAGTTTTTGCTGGAGTTACATTCCACTTAAAACACAGATAAAATATATTCGTGGTGTTATTGGTTTGGAACGATCAGTTTTTTGTTGTCTAATCCTTCATAATAGATTATTGTGCATTAATCAAATGATGAGCTAGCAACATAGGAAAAGTTTGATGACTTCATCTTTCTTTCTCAGATCAGATGAGAAACTAGAGAAACGAGAAATTTAGGCCATCCCGAACTAGATTTCTTTGATAGGTTACTTGTAAGGCTGCTTATCTTTGCGTTGTTGAATTACTTATGAATGTTACTCTCAGTTCAATGTCAAACCTGCTACACGTTTCTACTGTAGGGATTTGGATGATCAATTTTTAGGCATTTTACCTAAAAAAAAATAAAAAATAAAACTTTGGGCAGTTTTACACTTCAAAATTGGTGGTTGTGCATTTGAGCTCATAATGACTTGGCAGCATTTGACAACTTTGATGCATTCTCCTTACTTCTTTGAATCAGATGAACTGGAGAAGCAAGAAATTATGTTCATCCTAATTCAATACACCCCTACCTTATGGATACAGTGCTACATGTAATTATGGACACTATTATGTAGACAATTATGTACATATAGCACTTCCTAAATTATAATCCATCTCCTTTGCATCACATTCTGTAGAAAGACCACGATCCAAGTTTAGTCCCTTTTTTATATAATTCTTGTAATATGTCTCATGATGATGTTGAAAAGTTTTGATGATGATTAAAAGAAACTTGAAAGAGGTGTTTTTTTTTTTTTTTTTTTTTTTTAAAGAAAAAATGAAAAACGTAATTGTGGAGAAATATTCATTTGAGCAAGAACAGGAAAAAAAAAAAAAAAAAGGATTTTTCTTTAACTTAAAATTAATCTTTGAGACCTTATAAAAAAAATTTGAGGGGAAAATGTCATTTGGCCCCTACAGCCTTTCTTTTCAAAACATTGAAAATACTGAAATCAGACATACAATACAAAACCTCAGATGTGTCTACGTAAAATCCCCTCGTGTCACCCTTGTCTCAGTGCCGGGAAAGTCGCTCCATTTCTTGCATATTTCTCAACAAAGCCCCACCCACTCCTCCAAAGTGCTAATCATGAAATCAGCAATTTTGCACAACCATCAGAAGAAAAATCCACAGATAATATCACTCCCATAATCGACAGAAAGTATTGGACAGGCCGTATCCACAAGCTGTGCACCGTCTACCATGACGTGGACGCCGCCCTCGACCTCCTCCACGACCTCTCTGTACGTGGGTTCCGGCCGGACTCACTCAATATCAGCAGCATTATACACGCATTCTGCGAATCAGGCCGATTCTCGGAAGCCCACAATCGCCTTCTTCTTTTTATTGGCTCTAGTTGCACCCCAGATGAGCGGACTTGCAATGTTTTAATTGCACGCTTGCTAGATGCGCGGGAGCCGTATTGTACATTGCGCGTCATTCGGGCGTTGATACATGATAAGCCTAATTTTGTCCCTTCTTTGATGAATTTTAACCGGCTGATTGATCAGTTTTGTAATTTGGAGAGACTGCGTGAAGCCCATTCGCTGTTTTATCATATGATGAGCAGAGGTCACCGCCCCAACGAAGTTTCGTACACTACGTTAATTAATGGATATTGTAAAGTTGGGGACATGGGTGCTGCTCAGAAGCTGTTCGAAGAAATGTCTGAGTATGGAGTGAAGTGCAATGCACTTACTTATAGTGTCTTGATTCGTGGAATTTTGCGGAAAAGAGAGTTTGAATATGGGAAAGAATTGATGAGAAGGCTTTGGGATGTTATGAAAACTGAGGAGGATATCCATGTTAACAATGCGGCCTTTTGTAATGTTATTGATTCTTTATGTAGAGAAGGGTTGTTCCACGAAGCATTTAAGATTGCAGAAGATATGCCGCAAGGGGCAAATGTTGTAGAAGAATTTGCTTATGGGAAACTGATTGATTCACTGTGTACATTTGGGAGGTGCAATGGAGCTGCAAGGATTGTTTATATGATGAGAAAGAGAGGGTTTACACCAAGCTTGTCATCATATAATTCAATTGTTCACGGTCTATGCAAGGAGGGTGATTGCTTAAGGGCTTATCAGTTGTTGGAAGAAGGGATTGAGTTGGGGTACTCGCCGTCCGAGTACACTTACAAGATCTTAGTTGAAGGTCTTTGTTATGAATCTGATATTACTAAAGCAAGAAAAGTTTTAAATGTGTTGTTGAGCAAGGAAGGTGTATACAGGACTAGGATATACAATATATTTTTGAGGGCTCTTTGTCTTATGAATAACCCAACTGAGCTCCTCAACGTACTTGTTTCTATGTATCAAGCTCAATGCCAGCCAGATATCTTTACCCTCAATACTGTTCTAAATGGATTTTGCAAAATGGGAAGAGTTGTAGACGCTTTACAGGTTCTTCGTGAGATGATGTCAGGGAAGTTTTGTGCCCCGGATAGGGTGACATTTACAACTATTATTTGTGGATTGTTAAATGTAGGAAAGGTGGAAGAAGCTCGCAATTTTTTGTATAAAGTCATGCCTGAAAATGGTTTATCCCCTAATGTTGTTACTTATAATGCAGTTCTTCGTGGATTGTTCAAACTAGGCCTGGAAAATGAAGCTATGGAAGTTTTTGATAATATGGTCTCTAGTGGAGTGTTTGCTGATTGCACTACTTATACTATTGTCATCGAGGGGCTATGTGATTCTCACAGGATAGATCAGGCTAAGAGATTTTGGGAGGAGGTCATTTGGCATTCTGGAGTTCATGACAATTTTGTTTATGCAGCCATACTTAAAGGGCTTTGCCACGCTGGCAAATTCAATGAGGCGTCTGATTTTCTATATGAACTGGCAGATTGTGGTGTTACCCTCAATAACGTAAATTACAACATTGTCATTGACAATGCTTGCAAGTTGGGTTTGAAGAGAGAGGCTTATCAGATTGTGGGTGAAATGAGAAAGAATGGGCTAACCCCAGATGCTGTAACATGGAGAATATTAGATAAATTGCATGATAATGTAGGAAATACATTTTGTGAGGATTCAAATTTGCAATCTATTGAGTTTGTACGCTAACCATAGAGCTGAACAGTCCAGTCAAATTGCTGTTCTAGTAGAAAATTAATGGAAGACAGGGAATGGAAAATCAGAAATGGACGCTTTCAAAAAGTAAAGCACCATGAGCAGTGAAGGTGAAAATGAAAATATGGTTGATGTCAAATTCCTGATCAGGTATGCACCAAAATCTTTGTTGGTGAAAACATAATATACTTGATTTGAAAATGATTCTTGAGACTTCCAAATCAAAGTTTTTTATGTTAGTGTTGGTCATGCTTGGCTGGGATATATATACATGTTTCTTACCCAAGACGCTGATATTTTCTTTTATGCTAGTAACTGATCTAGATTTAGTTCATTAAGTTTGTCGTCATAAAAATTCATTCTAGGAAGAATCTGTTATTCAAAACAATTGTCAGATGAGGATTTTTTAATTTTTTAGGTGTTACTGTATTAGACAGTTACTTAAAGGTCGTTAGTATAATTTGCTCTAGAAAATCTTATTTCTGCTATAATGCATGCAAAACCCCCCCGTTTTTTTTTATATATATATTTAAATTTTAAAATAACTTTTAATTTTAAGAAAATCAAAATTCTTTGCCCTAACCAATCTGAACATTTGACATTCAAGTCTTATTATCCTTCATCCTAATTTCTTTAAACCCAGTGGTCGAAATTTGTAACTTAAAATTCTTAACGGCGTGGGTTCCCTCATATATGATATGTAAAATATCCCAAACTTCTTTCGCAAATTCACGCATAAACACATGCCTAAATTTTCTGGTAACACGATCATAAATAAGGCATGTAAAGCTTTACTAACCCAATTGTACTCATTTAAATTTGTTTTCGACCAATTTGCTATAGGAGTGGAGATGACAACACCATTAACAATGTTAGAGAAAGCAGACCAACCATTTGCTACGCTCATCCATAGATTTTAGGAAAGCTCTTATTCTAACTTTCCAATACACGTAGTTACTGCCATCTAAATATGACAGGACGGATAATGACTAACTCATCTAATAGAGTCAAGGGATCAACTTTGGGCTTTGAAACAACTTGAAAGTTACTAATTCGACCCTAAAATCACCTAATGGGAATAAGTAGGTAAAAACCACGAAATTAAAATTATCGATTAAAAGTAACAAGTCACTTTTTAATTATTTTTAGATGGTTAACCAAACAAGTCAAATTATCCTATGTTGAACTGCCACGGTTTATAATATAAAAGCAATGAACAACACAACAATTGTCAATGGAGAAACTTAACTGGGGATGGCAGCTCGGCTCGGCTCAGCCCTTTAATCCACGAGCTCGGCTCGTTGCTCGTGGGCGAGCTCGACTCGGCCCACGAGCGGCTCCCGAGCTGGTGAATTTTTTTTTCTTTTGCAAATTTTTCAAATTTTATTGATAAAATTTTATTTTTTTCCACATTTTTGGACGAGCCGGCTCGGCTCGACCTCGGACTCGTCATTTGACGAGCCGAGCTTTGATGAACCGCGGGCCAGCTCGGCCCAATTGACATCCCTAGTTGAACAGCATCATTCCAGTAGAAATTGAAAATTGTGTAGAGCTTCAATACATTAGTTTCAATTTAAACAATCTCAGTGGGCAATTTCATATCAAATTAGTGATCTACAAAACCTAACTTATCTTGATTTGTTATGTAACTCTTTTATTGGAAAAATTCCAGAATCATTATTCGCCAATCTAGGCCAACTTGAATATCTCGACCTTATGCATAACCATTTTCAAGGAACCTTGCAATCGATTCTTTCCAAGCTAACGAAATTGAAAGGATTATATTTTTGGCTTAATGCCAAATCTGGAAATCATTGAACTAATTTCATTTCAAGAAAAGAACCTATCTTCTTTAGGCAAACTCGAGAATCTTCAGGGACTTAGTCTCGATGTCAATAGTCCACTCAATTACATAATTCCTTTTGAGCTTGGCCTCTACACAAACCTTACCCACTTGACTTTAAATGGGAATTCACTTATGGGATCCTTGCCTTTATCCTTAACCAATTTAACCGAGTTATGTACTTTGTATATCTATAATAGTAATCTTTGTCGTCAGATCCTCCTTTATTTTACCACAAATTAGACCTAGTTAACAGTTTTGAGGATTCAAAAGAATTCTTTAACTGGGGAAATCCCATGTGAACTTAATAAAAGATTACATAGATTGAATTCGAATAAGAATCACCTTCGTGGCACCATTCCTAAAGTATTTACAAATGGACATGAACTTGATGAGTGTGTTTCACTCATCATATTAATGCTACTTAATCTTGATATTTTGATTGATTCTCAGAGTTTTAGAGAATTTTGATTTATGTTCTTTTTCTTATTTTGGAAATTAGGTGAATTGGTGTAAATGGTGCAAAATTAGGGGAAAATGGTGATTCCAGCATGAATCAACGAGCAATTGATGTTGATTTGGTAAAACTTATTATTAGTGGCTAAATTGAAAGAAAAAAAGTGAACAGCGATGAAAATAGTGAATTTAAAGTTTGAGGACTCAGATGTAACTTTTTCGTAGTTGATTCGGACCAAAAAATAATAATTAAAAATTGATAGGAGACATCGAATGTAACTAGAAGTCAAAAAGGAGTGAAATATGATCAAAATGTCTTCACAAATCAATTTTCAACTGTACAAGCATGTTTGTAATTTTAATTCGGAGATTGAGACACTCATAGTTCTTTGAGTTATCATTTCAATGAACTTTGAATCAATTTAATCGAATCTCAAGAGAAATAGTTTATGATAAAAATATTGAATGATATGTAGTGCTGAATTTTTACCAAAAGCGACACCGCAACGCCACTATTGCTCAACATCAATAGCATCACAGTGCCGTAGCACTATGCTTGTGGCACTGGGGCACTGCCGAGCAAGAAATAGGATTTTGAATATTTTGGTATCTTTTTAAATCATAATCCAACCTAATTCTTCTAAGACTTCATGATAATATAAATACAATCCTAAAGAACACTTTTCGAGGAGAATTTATCTAGTTAGGAGCAACGTTTTAAGGGAAAAGATTTAAGAAATCAAGGAGATAAAGGCAACTTGTTGAAGAAGATTTGATTTGATTTGATTTTAGTTATTTCTATGAAATTTTCGTATTCCATTTATTTGTGTTTTTCATTTAATGCTTTCAATTAATTAACACTAATTGAATGATTAAATGCTAGTTAATTCTAGCACTCGAGATAGGAAAATTTAGGTGTGATCACAACAATATCACAACCTAGGTTTTATAGGTTTCAAGAGAGTATAATTTCTTTGAATCTGGTTCCACATAAGAACTATGAACTTAATAATTCTTTGATTTTTATTCAAAATAGAGATATTGGAATTGAATTCTACGAATAGTTCTTACTCGACACTTGAAAGAGTAGAATTAAATTAAGATTTTTGCTTATAAACATGAAAAATTGATTAGAGATGACAAAGTTTTTTAAAAATCATATTTGATACTTGGATGAAATCATAACCCTAGGCTTTTTCGTATTGATTATTCTTCTAACTCGCATTTAATTATTGTATTTGTCACCAAATTCAACATAATAACTTATTTAAAACTAGTGGTTCCAAATTTCATTTGTCTAGATAAAATAAAAGCTGCACAATTTAGTACTTGGTAGAAATTTAATATCAATTCCTGTGGGTTCGACATCCGTACTTGATATTTACATTACAAAACTTGATATCAAACACTAGCGGTATAAATTATGTTATAGAAAATGCATATCATAACTATTGTATTTGGACTTATGTGTAAAATCAATTGAATGGAACATTACCACACTCAATTGTCAATTGTAGGATGCTCGAAGTATTAGATATTAGAAACAATGAGATGAGTGGCTCATTACCCTTTTGGATGGAGACTCCAGAGCTTTGAGCTCTTGTGTTGAATTCCAACAGATTCCATGGTATAATACCTATTTTAAAGGTAAAGCTTCAGTTTCCTGAGCTATGAATTCTTGACATGTCCCATAATGAGTTCACTGTTATTTTACCAGTTGATTTTTTAAAGAATTTAAAAGTTATGATGAATTTTAGCGAAAATGAAATTGGAGCTGAACACCATCCTATTTTCTCAACTATTTTACGAAAGGGGTTAGAGACTCAATATGTTTGCATTTCCCTTTGTAATGATCAAGGCTGGTAAGTCCATCATCCGCACAAGACATAAGTCCCTCTCTACAACTCATGAACTAAGAATTCTAACAACAACAAGGTCTACTCGAAGCTCAGTATCCGAAGGCCTATACAAGCATCGATCTATCGAACAACAAATTCCAAGGAGATATTCCAATTTTTATAGGAAAGATCAAGGGCCTACAAGCTCTAAACTTAACTAATAATAGTTTCGCAGGTCATATTCCACCATTAGAAAATTTCACTTTCCTGAATCATTGGACCTTGTTTCAAATCAACTGCTAGTAGAGATTCATTGGCAATTGACAAAGTTGACATCTTTGTCATTCCTTAACATTTCACACAATCATCCCATACTTGAGCAAGGGCAACGTCTTACGTGGATAAAAGTTTATATTGGAAACCCAGAACTTTGTGGATTGGCATTGAAAAAGATATGTAGAAATGACCCATGTAGAAATGACTTATATCCATCGAAGCTACCAGTGTTGACCAAACAGACTGATGATGACTTCAATATCTTAAATGGATTCATCTGGCAATCTGTCCTCACGGGGTATGAATGCGGAATGTTATTTGGATTGGTTTCAAGATATTTTATTTTTAAATGTGAAAAACTTGAATGGTTTGTAGAATTTGTTTATCGAGTTTACAAAATAAAAGACGGTAGAAGGTGCAAGTAGATTATACATAGTTATTAGTTGAAGAAGAAATACACTCAATGTTAAGTCTTCCTATAATAAGCATATCAGCAACATTTATCTACTGATGCAACAAAAGAAGAAGAAAATAACTAAATTTTGTCACCTTTCGGACATAGCAAAACCTTTATTTTTCTTCTTTGTATTCTTTTCTTTTTAATTGAATATTGTTATCTAAGAGAACATAAGCATATTTTTCTAATTCTACCCAAATTATTTTTGTTAATAGATATGGAGATATTGTAATTAATAGTCAACTTCTCTTCACCATATTCAAGTGAACCAAGTCATTTGGCGGAAACATCTCATCCTTTCCCTTAGAAATTCCCAGTCATCTTCTTACTGTCGGAAAAAATGAGTGATTTGTGTATAAATAAATTATCAATTAAATAACACTATCTTATAATTGCCTAAACATAACAATATTATAGCATATAATCATTATAATTCAATAATAAGAAGAGTTTTAGAATGCAAGTCTTACGGAGTCACATCAATGACACCCCTCTTCTTGTAGGTACTTTCGGCACAACATAACTCTAAAGATAAAACCCATGTGGCTTACAGTCGGTTCTCTTTCTAGGAACACGACCATAGGAGATAAGTGAACGAACATTTATCGAGTTGACAAACCTATAAAAATATAGTATGAAATATAGATAGTATTTTATTTTCTAATTGTATCTCAAATTGTGGTTTTCATGTTATTTTTCTCAATGAAAAGCACTCCCTTTTATGGGGATAAATTTAACCCACACAATCATACCATTAAAACACAAGTTACAATATGTATTATGATGCTTTAATTTTATGTTAAAATTGAAAATTTTGAAAGGTTAAAACTTTTATTCTTAAGTTACAACATCTATTTCCCTTAGTTGATCCCCACAAAAACTGCAAAATTAGCAACCTAATCTCTTGGTATATCAAAGTTGGCTGCATGAACGAACAATCATATGAGAGTGTTTGGTAAGAATTAAAATTAGATTTTTTAGCAGATTGTGATGGATGTTTTTTAAATGTGTGGTTAAAAAGTTGTGGGATCCATGAAGGATATGGTTAATATTGATTTTTTTACTTTGACTTAGATTAAAATCAGATTTTAAGCCGTACCAAACAGGTTCTATATGTAGGGATTTCTTGAAAATAATAGATTTTGGCGCCACCCGTTGACCCTCTTCCATATCCGCTTTTTTATAGTGAAAAATGTTCAGCTATTTTCCATGCCCATAGTTGCTAGCATCCCTATATATACATCATAATATTGTACATTGGGAGTCCAAGAAGCAGTTGGACAAGGACCCACTCCTCACTAGCCATCGTATTTGACTATTTCAAAGCCAACAAATGTGGTTTTACTTTCTGATGACAATGTTGCCACAAAAAAGACGACGATTTCGATATTTTAGATTGATTCACCTGGCAAGTTGTTCTCATGGGGTCGGATGTGGAATGTTATTTGGTTTGGTTGGAAAATATTTGATCTTTAAATATTTCCCAAATATATATAGTGAAAATACCACGATTGCCTAGAAAATACAATTTAAAAATTTTGTATATATAGATTTGCAATCTTCTCCAAGAAAGTGAAGAAAAATTGATGCTCGAAATACCGATTTCTAAAACCCAAGCACAAAATTAATCAAGAAAAAGAAAATATCAAAGAGGCATAGTCTTCGAATTCCTCATATTGTTCATTAATTTTTTCACGTGTTTCCACTTCTACATCATTGTAAAGTAATTGGTGGAGGAACGCAATGAGTGACATGTAGATTCTTTGCCACCAGAAGCAAAAAATCTCTATAAATCCTTCACATATACCCAATTCCATTAGTTCTCTCATGTGTTATCCATTTCTACATCATTGTAAAGTAATTGGTGGAGGAACGCAATGAGTGACATGTAGATTCTTTGCCACCAGAAGCAAAAAATCTCTATAAATCCTTCACATATACCCAATTCCACAAAGGCTCATAATACTAGCACCTATGGAATTGTTAAGTTCAGTATAACCAATGGTGTAAAATTGATGTAAATATCAAAGTTGCGGTCTCAAATTTTCTTCATATTTAAGAGTAGAAAATTACTTGAAGAAAATATCTCATTGTCTCCCCTAGAACTAGTCTACTAATGAGACAATAAGTATAATTTAAGTCATTAGTCCAACAAAAGGTAGGTTAGTGACATGGATGTATATATTATATAAATATAAGCTGCAGATTATTCATTGCAATTAAGTAGCTTTCTTTTTTCATATATCATTAATTTCCATGTCTTTTCTTGATGTTTTTGTTGACTTAGCCTTCTATTAAGTCATCTTCAACTACCAACTCTCTCCTTTGTATTTTCGTGGAATTGAATTCCTTGTAAGGCATTAATATCAACCACTAAAGAGCTAAACATCATCAAGACTGTATTCTTTTGATTCTTCTAAAACTTTGATATCCTCTTTTGTTCGGATGTAAATTATTGAAGACTCACTAAAATAGCTTTGTGACATTTAATTCTAAACTAATTTTGACTGATTTGAGCATCATAAGATCTTTATTGTGCAAGCCCAATACAAATTAAGATACATTATATTTGTAACTTATGTCTTGAAATGATTATCTAAAAGTATGATGAGGCAATTCATTTGATACTCTACTTTCGCATCATATTTAAATCCAAAAATTGTTGACGACAACTTACATTCGTTTGTTTATCAAATGTACGTATCAAAAAAAAAAATAAAAAATGAGGCTTCATTTTTCCCTCTTTTTACTTGTTTTCATTGGCTTGCCTGCATACTTGTCACATCATCTTTTTCTCATCTTTTATTTACCACTGTTATAAAAGAAGAAAGGGGAAACGGTAATGAAACCCAAAACAATAAGCATGAAAACATTTAAAAAAGCCTTCATTTTCCTTCTTCATATTCTCCTTTTAAGTTCACATCCATTCGCACTGAAAGTTGTATCATCTAAAAGAATAGAAGCAGAGGCTCTTGTAAGGTGGAAGAACACCTTATCATCTTATGATTCTCTTGATTCATGGGCTCCCAATAATATCACGAACCTGTGTAGTTGGAAAGGGGTTGTATGCAACACTGAGATGTCACTTTATGAGATATACTTGTCGGGTGTAGGCCTTAATGGCACACTTGACCAACTCGATTTTTCTTCATTTACAAATCTCACAAGTCTCAAAATCTGTTGTAATCATTTCCATGGGTTGATTCCATATCAAATTAGTGATCTTCAAAACCTAGCTTATCTTGATTTGTCGTTTAACTCCTTTATTGGTGAAATTCCTGACTCACTATTCACCAATCTGAGAAAGCTCGAATATCTGAACCTTACTGGTAACTCATTTCAGGGCTCCTTGCTATCAATTCTTACAAAGCTAACGAAATTGAAAGGTATTGGGTTAGCCTCGAACAACTTCTATGGTTCAATTCCAGATATTTTTGGTTTGATGCCAAATTTGGAAATCCTTGAACTAACTTCATTCGAAGAAAAGATCCCATCTTCTTTAGGCAAACTCAAGAATCTTCAATACCTTGATCTCTCAATCGATAGCCCACTCAATTCCACAATTCCTTCTGAGATTGGCCTATGCACAAACCTTACCCAGTTGTTTTTAAGTGGGAGTTCACTTATGGGATCCCTACCTTTATCCTTTACAAATCTGACCAAATTATCTATTTTAATTATTGCCAATAGTAATCTTTGTGGTCATATCCTGCCTTATTTTCTCACAAATTGGACCCAGTTGGTAGTATTGGGGCTTCAAAACAATTCTTTCACTGGGGAAATACCATCTGAAATTGGTTTGTTGACAAATCTAACTTATCTTCATTTGAGTGGTAATAGATTTTTCGGCTATATCCCTCAAGCGATCGGAGGCTTGCAAAAATTGTTCTCCCTAGACCTTTCAATCAACTTACTTTCAGGTCAAATACCTCCCATGATCGGGAATTTAACAGAACTTGTACACCTGGATATCTCCTCCAACCAGCTCACAGGTATGATTTCACCTGAGATTGGACGTTTGAAGTCACTCATGGTTCTGGATCTTAGTATGAATCATTTAAGTGGACATTTGCCTAAAAATGCCTCTAAACTCATTAAAGGATTGGAAGTTTTGAATTTGAAGAAGAATCATTTTCATGGTACCATTCCTAAAATATTTCCAAAGGGATGTGAACTGTGGTATTTGGACTTAAATGGAAATCAATTGAAGGGGACATTACCACACACATTGGTCAATTGTAGGATGCTTGAAATACTAGATATTGGAAACAATAGCATAAGTGGCACATTCCCCTTTTGGATGGAAACTCTTTTGGAGCTTCAAGTTCTTGTACTAAAGTCCAACAGATTCCATGGTATTATACCTATTTTGAAGGTGAAACATTCATTTTCGAAGCTGCAAATTCTTGACATATCCCATAATGAGTTCACTGGTGTTCTCCCGATTGAATTTTTGGATAGTTTCAAAGTCATGATGAATGAAAGTGAAACTAGAGATAGATACTATGGTGCTCTTTCGACTATTTTATTGAAGGGGATCGAGTATGGATTGAGGAGTATCCGAAGAGCCTATACAAGCATCGATCTATCAAACAACAAATTTCAAGGAGATATTCCAAGTTCTATAGGAAAGCTCAAGGCCCTACACGCTCTAAACTTAGCTAATAATAGTTTCACAGGTCATATCCCATCATTGGAAAATTTAACTTTACTTGAATCATTAGACCTTTGTTCAAATCAATTGGTAGGACACATTCCTTGGCAATTAACAAAGTTGACATCTCTGGCATTCCTTAACCTTTCATACAATCACCTTGTTGGTCCCATACCTGAGCAAGGGCAACTTCTTACGTTTCCTAGCAGTTCATATATTGGCAACCTAAAATTATGTGGATTGCCATTGACAACGATGTGTGAAAATGACGAACCGCTACCGAAGGTTCCAATGTCAATGACACAAAAAGATGATGATTTCAATTTCTTAGACGGATTCACCTGGGAAGCTGTTCTTATGGGGTATGGATGTGGAATGTTATTTGGATTGGTCGCAGGATATTTAATTTTTAAATATGAAAAACCTGAATGGCTTATAGGATTTGTTTATCAAGTTTACAGAATAAAAGATGGTCGGAGGTGGAGGTAGATTGTTTATGGTTAATAGTTTAAGAAAAAATAAGCTCAATGTTAAGTGTTTCTAGAATATGCATATCAGCATTTATTTACTAGTGCAATAAAAGGAGAAGAAAATAATTGTATTGTTATCGTCCGGACATTGCAAAGCCTTCATTTTCCTTCGTCATAGCCTTTTCTTTTTACTTTAATCAAACATTGTCATCTAAGAGAACATAAATAGATTTTCCTAATTCTGTCCAAATTTTTTTTGCTCACAGATCTAATATAATATAGAGCTATTGCAAGTAATATTCAAAATTTTCACCATATTCAAGGAAACCAAGTTATTTAAAGGAAACATTTCATCCTCTCTCTTAGAACTTCCCTAGCCATCTTCCTCCTTCCCTCAGTTATCTCCACAAAAACTGCAAAATCAGAGACCTAATTTGTTGGCAAATCAAAGTCAGCAGCGTGAGCAAACAAATCATATATGTTTGCTTGCAAAATATCTTTACTCAAAATTTCCTAGCACCTAGCTGAAAAAATAGATTCCAGCGCCACCCGCTGACTCTCTTCCATCCACTTCTTCATCGTGAAAAATGTTGAACCATTATTCATGCTCACAGTTGCTAGTATCCCCAGATATACATCATAAGAATGTACATTGGGGAGTTCAAGAAGCAGTTAGGCAAGGACCACTATTCACTATGCACATTCGGACAAGAAGTAATAAGTGATTTTTGTAACTCGTCATAAAGTGATAATAGATGAAGTAACGCCAAAAATTGTATAAATTTTGCATCAGCTACATTATAACTTAGGAACCTGATATGTGGTTAAGTAGTTAAACCTATACTATAAGCCACCTTCAAGTTAAAACCAATATGCCACGCGAATTTATACCTCAACTGCACATGAAGCTACTTTTGGACTTCAATTTGCATTCTCAATGCTTCAGTGATCTCAAAAACAGAAATGTGCACAATCTGCAATAGAACATAGAGGATATAGAAAATTTAAAGGAACCTGAGATCGGTTATAATTGTATCCATCATTGCAACTTTTCTAAGATATATTAAATTTTCAAAATTTGACAATTTTCACATTCGTTGAAACCAAAATATATTTCCCTGTTCAGATAATCCACACATAGAAGTCACTCATTAATCTTCCAACTGCCGACATATTTGTGAATATTATGTAAATTTATCACAACAGACGCCTGTAGTTTGCTATATTTTATAAAAATGTCTAATTATGTTTCATAGTCTATATCATCACCATCTTCCTTCAATCTCATTTAGAAATTGATGTCTTATAATCCCGTTGTTGGGTTTCGATACCCAATAAATTATGAACAATGATGCAAAACATCGAATTATATTTTCACAGGCTTGGCCAATGGTGAATTAATACTAACAACCAAGTCTAAAAGCTCGATCCGAAAACAACGTGGATTGTTGGAAATAGTTTAATAAATTAATGCTACTCATGGCCCCCATATATATTTATCTATTGGGCAGCTCTCCTCTCTTGGTCTAAATAAAGCTTAACCTATTCCTATACATGTGTTGCTTACCCTAGTCGTTTTCAAGGCAGGTTCGGGAGTGATTATGAAAATTTATTTTTTGACCGTTAGAGAGAAAAGTAGGTCCCACATATAAGTGAAGAAGTCAAAAAATGACGGTTAGAATAGTGAAATAACGGTCAAAAAATTGATTTTTTGGGATGAAAAATTGCTATCAAACGGGGGCTTAGTGTGTAATTTGTGTATAGAGAGAAAAATGTAGCTGCCTACTACTGGAGAAAAACGTATGCAGTTGAATAGTAAATAACAGTGACTTCCTCCTTCTTTTTGGTCTCCTATTTGTGCCTTATTCATGTTATTTTCTCGTGCCTTTATAGCTTGCAAATCAACACTATTATCATGTCCTTTGTTGGTGAGATTGAGAAGCAACCAAGGTAAATATATTGGTTGTGGGTTTGAACCGTTTGGATTGATTGTTTTGTAGAGAAAGATAACTTGAAACTGAACCCCAAAAACACCATTTAGAAAATCTTTGAATGAGCTTCCGCAACACCTGCTCTCTTGACAAAATTTAATAGAAATTAATATCTACCAATCATCCATGTTATTCTACAAGAATAACTGGGACAAGAACAAAATAGAGCAAAGGTAAGAAGTGTAGTTGTCAAATTGCTTAGACACTGGTGGCACAAGGTAATGCCAATAGTCACACAATAGAAAGAAGAAACAAGGCACATCTCCATTCACAAAATTACAAGAAGCTGAGTGTAGAAAAGGAGGTTCATCATCCTACATACACGAGCAAAGACAAAAAAAACAGAAAAGGGGACATTAAAGGGAACATATATAAACTAAGAGTAACATTGAATATATTAAATATTATGATCAGAAATACAGATACAAATGATTCTTGAATTCCAAAAATTACATCAACTGCAAGAAATGAACTCATGTTAAAAAAGTAACTTCTGTTTTCACGTCTAGAGATGACAGATCTATGCTAGAGGTCCAGTTTTTCTTTTTTTCTTTTTTTTTTTTTTTTCTCTGAAGATTCTGCAAACGAAAAAATAAGTTTCTTAAGTGATGACAAAGATTGCTCTTCAAACATATCATAACATATAGTATGTTCGAAATGTCAATGACAATCATGAACCGGGGACATTATATAAGAAGTTCTGTTCATGATTAATCTAAGCAAAACAGTCTGAAAAGATGGGTTTTTTTCATAGTGCAAGCAACGCATTAAAGTTCAAGAATTATGAAGGGAAAGAATTTGAATTAAAATTGTGTAGCAAATATATATATATATATTTTTTAAGTATTGTAGCAGCATAAACATATGAAGTGGTGTAATATACTCATTTCTAACTTCAATATTTAAGCATCTGACATTCACTATCTTTTGTGTGTGTTTGAGAGAATATCTATAGATAGATTTCAAAGATGTATAAACAATTGTCATAATGACAATTCTAATAGACGTTTCTGAATATCAGAGTACCTACTATATTATGAAACTAGATAAATAAAAATATAAAAATTAGAGCAAATACAAACCTTCTGTTGTCTCCGGTTTGTATCTAGCTGTTCAGTATTTCTGCAGAACAGGAAAAAGATTTCACATTAAATAGACAGAGAGATCCACCAATGCAGGTTAAGAAAAAGGTCATGAACCAAGAATACAAAAAGACCTGGCTTTCTACGTGATAGATGGTCAAACCAACTTTTATTAGCTTCAGGAAACCCTTAGGAGTGGCTCCTGTGGTTAATAATGGAATGAGTAATGTGAATGGTGGCCTGATGTTTTACACAAAATGACCTTTAAGTGGTAAAGAAGAATTACTTTCACTTCCCCCAAGCTTGTTGACTGCTTCAACAAAGGCTTCATAAAGTTCTGATGTCCAATGCATTTGCTGCTTGGTTTGAGCACAATTTGCAGAAGATGATTGAGCAACAGCCGTGCAAGTTTCTCTAGGTGTGGGTCGGACTGCTTATTGGGCTGCTGTATTGAGAAATATGTTGACAGATTGGACATATGATGATGTACATGCATTAACAGAACGAGGACCAAGAACAAAGTGAATTTTCATTTTATCTATCGAACACCATAAAAATATGTAATGAGGAACACTCCAGTGGATTAATGTACACCAAAAGAATACGTAATAAGGAACGCTTTCATAAAGAAAAAAACATCAACTTTTGGTTCTGGATCTGCAATACTTGCATCAGCAAGGAGCTCATTCTAGTCAAAAGTAAAAGCACCGTTATCAGTGAGATTACATTTGTGAAATGACAGCTGGAAACCTGCTGAATAGGAAAAGAAGACGACATAGTCCCAGAAACCCAATGTTATTAAGTTGTCCTGGACCTGAACTTTGATTAGACAAAGAAGGTTTTGCTTCCGTTGTGGCTGTGTAGAAAAGGCAACTTCAGCTTACGTTATACCACAAGATTATGCACCGTATTCATAACTCAGATAGGAATACGAATAATGTATGAATGCTCAATTAATGAAATGCAAAGAAAGAATCACCAAGAACATTAATCTATTCTCAAGTAGCAGAAAAGACATTCGCGACAAGTCAAGCAAGGAATTTCCTTCCTCATGATGATGAAGAAATGAACTTAGGTCCAATTCTTCTCATAGCTGGAACAAAATAACTGCATTATAAACCTCCTTTTGGCACAAATTCGTTTACTTGTAGGTCACAACCTACATTGATCTGAAAGGATGTGTTCGGGCACTCTTCATCTCTTAACACAAATTTGTCCTCCTCTCTTAGCAATTATACTTCATGCGTGCATGGAAAACCTCTCAAGAGGCTTTTATAGGGTCTTCAGAATTTATAAATCTGGATTATGGAAACATTTTTTTCTATAGAGATGCTCCGTCTTTGAAGAAAATTTTGGTGATCACAATGCTGAATGCAGCAGAGGCTCAACTTGGTGTCTTGAGCACAAAATAGAGCTTCTAGCATATGCTCCTATCGTTCTTGAGTTCCTACACTACAACCATAGTACAGATGAGAGCTTTTATACAACAAGCAACAAAATCAGTCATTTTGTGGCTCACCGTAAAGATAACAAATTGTAGAACTATGAACCATATATTATGATTAGATTCATCTAAAATTTTAACCAATCCTTGCTCATTTATCCTAAGATCGTAATATAATACTCTAATAACAACTAAAACTTGCATAGACAATTTCACATGAAAAGTTTCATCGTTAAGGGTGTGTTTGATTGGTATGGAAAATGTTTTCCAAGAAAGAAAACCTTGTTTTGAGGAAAACAAAAAACTTACTTACTCAATAAAAAAATAAAAATAAAATAAAACAAAAAGTTTTCCTGAAAAACAGGGAAAATTGAAATGCTGCAAGAGTTGGAATTTATGTGCAAAAATGTCGTTTTCCATAAAAAATTTCAGTCAAACACCCCCTAATTGTTAATCATTTGCACTTATAGACCTCAAGATAAGTAGCTTGTGAACTCACCTAAAACAAATTCATGGATAATCTGCTTTTGAGATTTCAGTTAAGTAGAGCTCTCGTATGTTTTATATAACTCCTACATTCGGATATTCTGCATAAAGCTCTCAGCTTTGCTCAAAAAATGCCAACCTAGTATGATCACATCATTTCTAGAGACCTGAAAAGGCGAAATTAATTATACATAACCTTAGATAAAATTAATTATAGGCAGACAAAAACAAAAAGAGAAAAAAATTATAATTCAATCTTGCCTTCATAAAAATAAAAACCGAAAGCGTACTAACAAATATAACGTGCGGATAAAAACCCATAAACAAAGAATCCAATCAATATTGAATAAACAATCCTTAAAAAGAAAATAAAGACCGGCGTGGGTCATTGTTGAAAAAATAAAAACCTACCAATTACAATTCCAGAAATTGAAATTTTGCTTTGATGTTGCAAAATATTCTAGATGTCGCAAACCGAGAGTCAATCGGGGCAGCCCTAGAAACCAAGGAAGACCCTTTTCTCAGCATAACCGGAATTTAAGTTCTCGTTTCTTGTTCTCTCCCTTTTGATGGTGCAGAATTATGGAATTCTTGGTCGTTTTGATCTACTAAAATCGAACAAGTGGGTTTTTAGTTTTTGGTTATCGTTTATTCAAGTAACTGATCGTAAACATTGAACGGACTCTTTTGATTCTTCTTTCTTAACAGAGCTTTAAATTTTGTTTGTTGACCAAATTTTGAAACCAATGTTCTATATTCCCTGCTGTATTTGGCCCGATGTATCTGAAAAAGCACAAACCAATTCTTGATTTGTTCTCTCTCTCTCTCTCTGCTTTATGCTCGATAACAAGTTATTAGTATATTGTATTTTGATATTTTCTTTGAATTTTGGATTTTCTGAAAATCAGATTATTAAATAATTTTTACAGAGAAACAGGGTTCGGAATGTTCAGCAGCAGCAGGGTATAAATGCAGAACAGAGCATTATGGAAATTCCTGCCACCGACTTCGTTTCAGAGTCGCGGTTAGTCATTTGATTCTCTTAATTCTTCAATTAAATCGCCGTTGTTCAACTCTTTCAAGTACTGAGAATTATTTTTTTTTGATTTTTTATATTGTTAGCTTCTTCGATACTGCTAATATTTGGTAGGAAATTCTTCAATTAAATCGCCGTTGTTCAGCTCTTTCAAGTACTGAGAATTTTTTTTTTTTTTTGATTTTTTATATTGTTAGCTTCTTCGATACTGCTAATATTTGCTAGGAAAAATTGATTTAGAGAAGTATCCTTTGATTTTTCTTCCACTAAATTAAACTAGATTGACTTTTTGGTGCAGAGATAAGCCCAAGGGAGGAGCAATTGATCCCAAGCCCGAGAATAAGCACTGCATTTGATGCAAAACATATACCCATGTTTCCATATATGAAAGCATTGATTCTCTAGCAGAGAACAATAGATCCGTTGAGAAAGAGGGGGAAGATTTAGAAAGGGCTCGACCACATCAGTCGCATTCACTCTCTGAAAATGAAAATTCTGTGGCATCTAGTACGGGATTTTATCCTCGGAATCATACCCTCATTTGTGTCGAAAGTATGGTTTTATGGACTTCAAAACATGCCAAAAAATGCCCTAGAGCCTCGGCGCCAAGGAGTGGCGCCGCAACGCTGTGTCTTTGTTTGGTGTGATTTGGTGGTGCCATGGGTGGAACTCAGCACTGCACATCCTTCAATATTTTTATCATAACTTTCTCTCCTGATATTCAATTGAGCGTAAAGATAACTCAAAGAGCTACAAATTTTCTTGAAATAGCTATTTTCCAATTCAAATGTTTACTAGGTCAAAAATGGGTTTCAATCTTGAGCTAAAAATCTAGAACATACTTATGCGATTGAAAATCAACACCATGTCCATGTTTTGATCATATTTCACTCATTTTTACTTCTAATTGCATTCAATGACCCCAAGCATTCTCGATTTTTCATCGTGAAGTTCGACACAACTTCTGAGTATTTACACTTTAGTGCCCAAACTTTGGATCTTGAGGCCTACTACACAAACAGGGGCCTTTGACAGAAATTGAGGTGGTGTCACCTATTTGAGTAGCATAATGCTTGGATCTTCCCCCCTCCCCCTCCTTTTGCCAATTTTTGCGTCTTTCTTTTAATTCCCCTTCCATTCATCGAGATTCACCTAATAATCGAAATATACAATAAATTATGCTATAATTGTTCAAAAGAACTGCTAAATGTCTATATTTTTTTAGCTTCAAATAATTGTATAAAATGCATTTATCATTGATGAAATGTGTAGTTAAAAAAATTGTGGATCACATAAAATGAGTGGTTAAAATTAAATATTGACTTTGACTTGAGATTTAATTGGATTTTAATCCAAAACAAATAGGGGTTATATCTTCTTAAAAAATAAAAGTAGAGGCTCTTATAAGGTGGAAGAACACCTTCTCATCCCATGATTTTCTTGATTCATGGGCCCTTAATAATATTACAAATCTCTGTAGTTGGACGGGGTTGTATGCAACGTTGAGGGGTCGATTTCTAAAATAAACTTAAAGATGTGCAAACCTTTATGGCATGCTTGACGAACCCGATTTTGTTTCGCTTTCAAATCATAAGTCTCAGCTTCAGTTATAATGATTTCCATTGCTTGATACTATCTACTATAGATAGTCTCTCCAAGCCCACTTTCTTGGATCAAAGCCTCAATCAGTTTAGCAACATCATTCCACTAGAGATTGAAAATTGTGACAGAGCTTCAATACATTAGTTTCAATTTAAACAATCTCAGTGGACAAGCTTCATATCAAATTAGTGATCTACAAAACCTAACTTATCTTGATTTGTCATATAACTCCTTTACTGATAAAATTCCAGATTCATTATTCGCCAATCTAGGCCAACTTGAATATCTCGACCTTTTGCATAACCATTTTCAAGGAACCTTGCAATCAATTCTTTCCAAGCTAACGAAATTGAAAGGAACAGGGTTAGTAGGGGAATAAATTCTCTCGTTTAAGTCCTTATATTTTTGGCTTGATGCCAATCTTGAAATTCTTGAACTAACTTCATTTCAAGAGAAGATCATATCTTCTTTAGGCAAACTCGAGAATCTTGGACGACTCAGTCTCAATATCAATAGTTCACTCATTTACATAATTCCTTCTGAGCTTGGCCTTTTCACAAACCTTACCCACTTGACTTTAAGTAGGAATTCACTTATGGATCCTTGCCTTTATCCTTGACCAATTTAACCAAGTTATCTACTTTGTATATCTATAATAGTAATCTTTGTTGCCAAACCCCCCTTTATTTTACCACAAATTAGACCCAGTTAACAAATTTCAGCATTCAAAATAATTCTTTAACTGGGGAAATCCCATGTGGACTTAGTAAAAGATTAAGTAGATTGAATTTGAATAAGAATCACCTTCATGGCACCATTCCTAAAATATTTACAAAGGGACGTGAACTTGATGAGTGTATTTCTATAATACACCGTACCATGTTGTCAAAGTCAAAAACCTATAAGTTATAATAACTAAATGATATTAACTTTAGTAGTTTTTCATATGAAACTTTTAGCAATTATAAAGAAAATAAGGGTGTGAGCTTGCAATATTTGGAGGGCCCCATATTTTTTTTTTTAACTACAACCAGGTAAGGAGGAGGATTTTAATTGTCAAGAATATGTTACTTTAATATGGGTGTCTATGTATACAGTAAAAGAAAAATAATTTTAGATGGGAAACAGTTAGTAGAGGGATGAAAGGTTGATAAAAATCGGGCGATAAAAGGGGTTTGGCTTGAGATATATGTAAATATATATCTATAATTGTTGACACATAAAAATTCAGCCCAAATCGAACAGCCCAAGGAATAAAGCCCAATTGGAGGATCCCCAAATCAGATAGCCCAAAAAACGAAGTCCAATCGAACAAATTAAGGTGAAGGCCCAAATAAGGGGCCTAAGAGTGCGGTAACGCCATCGCCCAAGTTTGCAGGTCGCTCAGAATCTGAACAAATGGAGTGTCATACGGTCGCCCATAGCTGTTATTCTATTCTCGCCCAAACCTTCAAGTCGCCCAAGGTATCAACAAACATAACGCATTGTGGTTATCAAGAAATGCAGTTATCAAGGTAGTTGTTAAAGTAACCCTATCACGTTCCACAACTCAAGGAATTCAATCGAAAGCGGTTGAACGATGAAAGATAATGGCAGCGGTTAAAAAGCAGTTTCATGACAAAATGGCCACTACAAAGAAAGTGGGTAGTTATAGGACGATCAAGCAGTTTTCAGAGTAGTTAATCACAAAGAGATCGTCTGTGAGGTATAAAAGGGAGAAAGGACGTAGAAGCAAAGGACCGAATTCAAAACTCTCGAACAGAGAATATGTAACTTTCATTTCCTTAGCTTTTAGACTTAAACACTTTTCTTTCTGTAACTCGTGTGCTTGCGCCCCTTGGAGGCACGTTGTTTTTCGTTTCCAATTGTAAAGTTCATCGCCAATAATAGAACACCCCTTTTTGGGACTTTGTCTCAAGAGGTTTCGTCCCTTACACAATCGTCTGATCTTCTTTAATTGTTAGCGAATTAACCCGCGCGAAACAATTTGGCACGCCCGGTGGGACGGTGGTGTTAGGTGTTGAAAGTACAAAAGGTGAAACAATATGCCTCAGAGATCCGACAAGGAAGGAGCAAGTTAGGGAGGAATCCAGTTTGTAATCGAGCGATATGAGGAGCAGCATGCCTCTCCACGAACAGATGGAAAAAATCAGAGCAGTAACAGTCATTACGAACCAATGACGGAGTTGAGTCCTCGAACCATGCGTGCATTGCTTGGAGAACTCACGCAAGACATCATTGAACAGATAAATCTTCGAAGTATTCATAATATGGAAAGATTTACACAAAATGGAAATGCACACTATGACAATATGGCCAAACAGCTAAAGACGTTAAACGAAACAATGAATAAGTTAGTAAGCCAAATATGTCAACCGGCTATACCTCTTACAAACCACTTTCAAACCAGGACAATTGTGGGACATAATCCTTCTGTCCTAAATCCGAATCAAGGGGTAGAACTGCTTTCTGGGCCCTCCACTTCAAACCAAGGGGGTACTACAGTGCCAAATCAAAACAATGGTAGTGGCATGCCTAATTTGGGGGGTAGTCCAAACGTGAGAGATAATGTCCTAAACAATGGACAGAATATTCCACGTGGTAATGAGGGAACAAATGTCCAGGCTAATGGTAATGGACCTAATTATGGTAATTTTGTTGCCAATCAAGGACCAAACATCAGACCTCATGCAAATCAACTGGTTAATCAGCCTGTAGGAATTCCATATGATCCCAATGTCATGTTGAGGAACCAGATTATGGAAATCCTGCAGGATCAGATGGCCTTTGGGGTGCGTCCTGTCATTAGGCCGACGTACACAAAGCCATATCTTGATTGTGTAGACCAAGCATATCCATGGCCTAGAGGGTACAAAGTGCCAGAATTCTCACTGTTTACTGGTTTAGGAGATGTGTCTACTCTAGAACACATAGGGCGATTCACGTTGCAAAGTGGTGATGTAACCGATTACCATAAAATGAGACTTTTCCCTAGTTCGTTAA